ACGGCTGTATGTATTCTTCAGAGAGAAGAAAGAATGGAGCATACTTTCCAATTAGTTGTAGTAGTTGATATTGTAGAAAACAATCCCACAAATGCAGACAAAGAGGTTTGGCAAAATGTGATATCTCACATATCTTATCATCACACAGAAAATAGTAAGCTGCAATAAAGCAAGTCTTATATATCTCCCCAGCTATCCATGCTGATGTTTGCTGTGCTTAATAACCCTTCCGTTTCCCCAGTCTAAGGTAGATTTATCAAGCCTGCAGGGAAATGCAACTATCATTTTCCATTTGATTTTGCTCATTTTCTCATAAGCTCATATAGTTGGGGGTGGAGGTGGAAAAGAACAGCCGTAGTGGCTTCATTTCCACTTAGCTTCTCTGCAATTTCAATGTCATCTTGGTACAGAAAACTGATTAATTAATCTCATGGTCAACAGTCCCCTTGATACAGCTAACTAAGGGGATTTTTTTTAACCCTATGAAAACTGTGTCTGCTTAGGGATAAAGCTTACCTGTCCAGGGTCTAACTGGATCAACAGATTCATTTTGGAATCCACTCATCCCACTGACCAATCAAGCCAGTCACAAGGACAATAGCTTAGTTACATCCAACAGATTGCAGGGAGAAATCTATTTCTCTTCTCCTTCTACATTTTGCCTGCAATGACCAGGGATCTCTTAATTTGGGATATGAGATGTAATATGAGATCACCCAAAATTTAGAAGACAGGAACAAAAGCAAAAGCAAACCACTTCCTACTCCCAACTTCCTCTCTCTAATTCTGTTATAATTCTCTTTTCCTTCTGAGATCCTGTATCTCAAACCTGAGATGAATCAGAATGAACTGTATTGCCCCCATCTAGTGATCATCCAGAATTCTGCAGCTCATATTTACTAAATCTATCTATTATGGGTTCTTTCTGTAGAACAATTCTTCTACTGTGTAACCCTGCATTACTGGTCCCTTAGATGAACCAAGAAAGACATTCCCACTGTGGAAGGGATTAGTTACAAACCTTGCTTTTCAATGGAGTTGACATTCCTCCTTCCATTTGCATAGGAAGGATCCATAATACTATATCCACATTTGCTGTCAGAGTAGATTATACAAGGTTCCAGTCGATACTGGCAGACTGCACATACAGTAAGAGAAAGTTTGGACAAAATCCCAAATCTTATAGTGGAAAGAGTCAAGATAAAATATAATTGATTCTTCTTTTTTTCTTTTTCCAGTGTAGTACTCCTTCTCCTCGATTCAAAATATCAGAACTCCCACAATATTCTGCCATATACTGTTACTAATGTCTTACTCTTGGCCTTTCTAAAAAAAAACAGCCCTATGATAAAGAACAACAGTGGGAACCACATTTAAGAAATAGAAATGATTTGCATTATTGTATATAAATAGGTATTATATAAAGCTATACATTTGAAGGTGCTTTTGCTCAACCTGCATTCACATCTTAATAGTTTTTATTTGCAGTACAATTATAAACTATTGTGAAGAGTGCTGTATTTTAGCCAGAGCAATATGAGGACATCTACATTCATGATGCTAACAAAGTTAATCAAAAAGAGCCAACATTCACTTATGCTGGTTCTTAAGAGAGAACTGAGAAGTGGTATAGATGCTTTGCCTCAAGAGGCAAGAGGAAAATGAAGACCAGCTACAATAACATAATCACATACATGTCTATGCCAGCAAAATGTATTTGGTGAAGCTCATCTGTAGATAGGATTGCAGCCTCAAATTAGATTTATTTGAAGGGATGTCTCCATATTGGACTCACCTTCATGTATTACCAGTGGTGTTTCCTATCTTACATTCTAATTGCAAGGTGAGAGAATGTGCTGTTGTTATTATTTACTGAGAGGTGCCTCTCTGTCACATTGTACCCTTTCTCATTTTTTTTATGACAGCTTCTCTTTGGATTTAATGGAAGCCAAGGACACTAGATCCAATGGAGAGACTATTGCATAGTAAAAGACAGGACACTAAAATACTTCCATCCACCTAGGAACTAAGCCTTAAAGTTAAGTCCTGTACAGTCCTTCCCAAGCCAGTTGTAGATTGTAATGTTTACCCTTCCTGGCCAATTCTGGGGCATCAAGAAAGGAAAGGTTGGTATAGCGGGGGCTGCATGTGTGCATCTCCATAGATGGATAAACAATGCATTTTATCCCTTTTTCTCCACTACTGGGGATCAAAATTAAAAATATTTGTGGCATAGAAATTAAAGGGAAAATTTCACTCAATAGTTCCAGAAAGTTCTTCAACTGTTTATCTGGAAGCTAGGTTTGTTGTTAGCTTCTCTTCCCCCTCTCTCAATCCTTTCTGCAAAGTTTCTCTGTATGCACTCTCCAAAACCCCGAGATTTAGAATATGGTAATTTCTGGAGCACTGGGAGGGGGGGAAGAGGAAGGGGAAAGTCTGCAATATTCCAAGGATCTCCTACAAAATGATCTTTCTTTTTATTGTAAAAAGAAAGTAACCACCCACATTTTTCTTAGAAAAAAAAAGTTTTTGAAAACTTTTGGCTCTCTATCCTTCTAGAATCTTGACAAATGTAATGTGGTGAGTTGCTAACAATTTCTGTTGGCTGGCTCTTTCAAATTGAAATTCTTTTGGAAAAAGAAAATTACTCTTAAACTTGGATAAGTATACTTGGATAAAACTAAGCATGGGGTGGAGAAGACTCTTTAATTTTAGACAGGAAGGAGCCTATCTTCATCCACACCATTATTTTTTCATTCTCTACCACAGACTAACACACAACACTGAATAATATTAGATGATGAATGTATGGTAGTTTCTCTCACTGCTACAAAATAATCTTGGTGAATTAAACTGACCACCATTGATGATTAAAGGTTCCGGAATGCTTCCTGATATTGTGAACTCTGGGTGTGAGCATGTGAACCATAAATGAATTTATCTAATAAGGCACCATTGGTGAATGTAAAGCGTTTTATGCCATACTTCTGTTGATTGGGCTTCTTTCTTTTCACCCCAGCCCCAATCCAAAATTTTGTTCTAAGTGGACACAGCTGTTTAACAAAAAATTCTCTCCATTTTCAATGCAGATCAATGCTTTCTTATAGACCTTTCTTCACAAAATTGTGACCCCCTACACCTCCTAGTAACTGAAAACAACAACAACAACCCAGCACAGGGTTGAAGTTGAATGAGTTGTGTTAATGATCTTTGGCAAATGAAAGTGACATATGGATAGACCTGAAATCAACAAGATGTTGATTCACTTGAGAATGGATTACATCTTTCTTATCCCAAAACAAGTGATTGTCAGCTAAGTGCTATAAGCAGAGAACCTCTTCATTCCTGTTCTGTTTGAAGAAGAGCTTCAGGCTCCAAATCATGATTTATTTTCTTAAAAGCCCACAGGATGACAAAAACACCTGGGCTACTTCTTGGCATCAGGATTTTCCCATGTCCTCAGCCTCTGTTGCCTACATTTCACATCTTATTCTAAAGAACATTTCCTTACTTCCTGATAATTTATAAGCTGTGTAACCTCAGTTTGCCCTTAATTTAATCAGCTGTTCTTGTTGCATTCTTTGCATTTTGATAAGACAATTTCTGGGAGAATCATATAAAAAAAAAGTAGTACAGGGAGAAAATCTGTTTCCATACAGTATTTAGTGTGATGTCATTCCATATTGCATGAGAGATACTTGTTAAATTCTTGTGACAGTTAATAAAAATAAAACAAAGTGACAATATTAAGCTGCTATAAGAAACAAAGTTGCACTGAACAATATTTTTCTTATGCTTGTTCCATCTGGTTAAGTTTTAGGAGATTTTTGGAAGGATTTTAGCTTTGAATGACATATGTTTACTAAAATTTTGATACCACATTGCTTAAAGTGCCAGCAGTTAGAACCACAACCTCTAACTGTTAGCGAACATGTAAAATGTCTTTGATTGCATTTTATTGGGGAAAAAAATTCCCCAAGTTTGTTTTAGGAGTTTGACAGATGTTTTCCTCCCATCCCACAACTTTTCAGATAAACCAAATCTTCATATTTACAGCTTAACAGCTGCAAAAAAGAAACCTCTAAAAGGCAGGAATCAAGTTGAGATATAGCAGAAAAGGAGTTGCATATTTAGAATTGTACAAAGAGAATGTTAAGTTTTTCCCTATGTTTTGCTTCAACTACTTTTATTCAGCATTTCCCCACCAACCATAAGACAGTGCTCTAATCACAAGTGGTTTATTGCTGATAGGAATCTGCTTTTATAAGAATATGTTTTAAGACAGAGCAATTCAGGTCTTAGTTTAGTTTAGTTAAGTATGTTTCATAGGAGATGGATAAGTTATTTTGGTTGCTGTTTTATTTATCTAAGCTACAGGTTAAAAAAAACAGTAGGAAATGTAGTGTCCCCAAAATTATTTCTACCATCAGCACTTTCTAAAGGAAGAAGTGATGCCTTTAGGTTTAGGACTTGCTAATTCTTCCAAAGAATGTTTTAAAGATCTAAACAAATTAAATGTTGGATCAGAGATGTTAAATCTGCTTATCTCAGAATGAATCTGCTATGCTGGCTGAACAAAAGAGATTTCTCCGTTGTTTCATAATGGAGTTTCCCTTATTCTCCCACTTATAGTTATTTAGGCTGTTCTTAAGATTCCTACCCTGAGGAAAGGACAAGTCCTACTTTTCTTCTTAAACCCTTTTATTCCCATTTCCTGAATCCCAGGACGAATGGATGTTGGGATGGAGGTTGGGGGGGGGAAGAGGAGAAGATATAATTTCTATATTTTCCCGAAAGACTGTCATTGCATGCTCCTGAGCACAAACAGAGCGCCCCGTCTTCATGCTAAATAGCCATCCCCAGCGATTTCTAAACAATAAACAGGCTTGAACCCTTTACGAAGGGAAAGGGGGGTGGGTGGGTGTGAAAAAGGAACCAGACTTTAAAGCAGAAAAAGGAGGGGAGGGGGAAACAAAACTGACGGTGGCTTCCAACAGCCTCCTTGGCCGGTGTGCAAACTTTTCCTATTCCTCTATTATTTCCCAGGGAGACAGTTGCAAACCGAGGAGGGAATCTCCCTGGCCAAGTGTGAAATAAGGTACGGCTGATAGAGAAGCGTGCAAGGGGCGATTAAGGTAAAAATAATAATAATAATACTGCGCAGGTAGTAGAGGAGCTGGCTTCCCTTAAACCATGAAAGGCGGGGGGGGGGCAGAGGGAGATGACTAGTAGTAGCCACGACCTCGGGAAGAATTAGAAAGAACGAATGAACGAACAAGTGTTCTGGATTCTGCGACCCAAAGAGAGTGGGAGAAGAATCCCGAGAAACCTGACTATTTCCCCCGGCGTTTAACTCTCCCCACGATCCGGTTCTGGGATCTCTCCCCATCCCACCCACCCACCCCAAAAAAAGCGCCCAAGGTGGACTTACCCCGGTAACTGTTTCCGGGCTTGTAGAAATCCGGATCGCCTTCCACGCGGAGGCTAAATTCATTATAACCTTCCCTCCTCGTGCCTTGGGCTCGCAGGATCCGGCTGCAGTAGCCTTCGGATTTCGAAGCTCTCTCTAAGGTTTCGTCCGGCAACGAAGCCAATGTCACCAGCGGGAAAGTCCAGGCGAGCAACTGCAGGGCTGGGAAAGCAGCCGGAGAAAGCCGGCAACGTCCCATCCTGCGGGCGCCTCAAACAACTTCACCAAAATAAAAAATAAAAAAAAAAAAGCCAAGGAAACGGCTGGGCTTGAGCTGCGGCTGCCGGAATCACAACGCGGACAGGTTGAAAGAGACGGCTGGGGGAAAGCCTGCCACCCCCCCCCCACACACACACACAAACACACACCACCACTCCGCCTTTCCTTTCTCGGCTCGGGAGAAAACCAAGCAAGCCACAAGAACTAACCCAACGCAGCCTTTTAATCAGTTGCAGCTCAAGGAGGCTTTCTCTCTCTCTCTCTCCTCCCCACCGCCTCCCAAGCCTTGGGGAGAGAGCGCGGAAAAGGCTAAGGGATCCTTCTTTTTTTTTTAACGCGGCTTTCTTCCGCTCGATCGGAAGGATCCGCTTAGCCAAACAGACGGGCTGATCTGAAAGGGAGAAGGGCTGATCTTGCCCAGCTGCGAAGTGAAGTGCGGGTTTTCCTTTCGCAGACCTTGTCATTAGCAGCTCGCTGGTGTTTACTTAAAAGTCCGGCTCAGTTCGCGGGGTGGGGGGGTCGGCGAATAATAGCAGCGCTGGGTGGTTTGGTTACGGGGGTACGGCGCTGTCGTCTCCAAGACGCGAGTGTGTGTGTGTGTGTGTGTGTGTCTGTGTGCGGGCGCTTGGATCGAACGGCAGAGCCTCGGAATTAATCACCTACATTCCTGCCTTGGTCTATAGAAACTCTGGAGAAAAGAGCGAGCAGGAATGTTCTTATTGACCGCTCTCGTTCTCCCGGCCACCAGACACTGCAAACATTTGTTGCCGCCCGATTTCTCCGAGCAGATTGACCCCGAGAGAGTCACCCTCCGTGACATTAGCCCTCCCTTCTCTCTCCCCCCTCCTCCCCCGTTTCTAGGATCCGGGCTGGCGTAAAGTTTCTGAAGAGCAAACTTTAATTGCCTCGAGAAGAAAACGGTAGAGAGGAGGGGGATGCACTCCGAGAGGGCGTGCGGGAGTCTCTGCGCGCTAGGCGTTCACATGGAAGTCAATTCCACTGAAGGATTGAGGAGGCTTGCTGCAAATACACCTGGGACTCTCGTCAATTGGAACTTTAAGCTCCCATCGCTGTGCCGCGATCCAGTCTCCAAGCGGGGGTAGGGGGTGTGGGGTACTCTAGCCCCAGTGGTGGGTTTCAAATTATTTTACTACCGGTTCTGTGGGTGTGGCTTGGTAGGCGTGGCCTGGGAAGGTTACTGCAAAATCCCCATTTCCATCCCACTCCAGGGGAAAGATTCTGTAAAATCTCCATTCCCTCCCCAATCCAGGGGAAGGTTACTGCAATTTATGGTAGGATTGGGTCCAGAAAAGTTGGGATAGAATAGATATATGATGATGTATATATATGATGGCAAATATGTATGTATAAAGAAATGACTTTATATTTAAGGACAATGTAATCACATTATACCATGGTGGCAGGATTGTATATTTTATTTGTGTATTGTAAGGTGACCAGATTTTAACATTGGTAAAGAGGGACATTGTGGGTGTGGCTTATTTTGTGGGCGTGGCTAGCTGGTCATGTGACTGGGTGGGCCTGATAATGAAACATGCAGATGCCAAACAGCAAGCTCAGAGAATAAACCACCACCAAGAAAAAATGAGTTTCATCTTTAATCTTTAGAAGATATGGAAGAAACAGCAGGAATATTTAAACATTTTTGTCACAAATTAACAAACTGTTCAAAAACAGCAGAGGAATATAGGAGTAGATAAACATTGTTGAACTGGATAAAAATATTACTGATAATAAACCATTTTTTCCTTGTGTTAGTGGAAGACAGCAAATAGGTTAGTATTTAAATGTTCAAGCAAATAATCTGTCTGGACTATAGAACCATCTGAACCAGTTTGTCTTTCCAATCAGATGTACTGATGGAAATGAGTGCAGATTTCAGTTTCTGAGAGCAGAAGATCACTTTAAGGCCACCTGCTGAACACAAGATGCCAAGAATAGGAGAGACTTTAAATTGTTTCAGGATTGTGGTCTCAGTGCCTGGGTTCACATACCACACCAAATAATAACATGGCTTATAGGATTTTGCTTTAGGATATTGTGTGGACTCATTCAATGTGGCTCATTCAACAAACAAAACGTGAACAACAAACAAACTTTTTCAAATTGGATTCACACCCACCCCAATATGAGAATCTTAGAAAAAAATGGTCTAGGAAATAAAACAAATGTGGAGGCAAAGGTTTCTGAAATATAAAAATTAATTTCATTTTCAGTGGAAGATAATTATTTACAGAAAATTGTAGGAATTATTCAACCATACTAGCAATAGATTTATTTATTTTAAAACCCACAAACTAAATTAAGTCTGATTTAATTGAATTCATGGTACATTTTAAACCAGCAATTTAACATTTTAATTTGTTTCAGTTGAACATGTTATGATTTTCCATGTTTATTATTTTCTTAATGCCTTAATAAACATGTTAGTCTTTAATATGTCACAAACCTTTATTGCTTTGAACTAAGAAACATATTCTGAATGTCCCACTATGTCAGTCCATAGGAGACAAACAATGAAATTATGCATCACGAAATTCCAATGCAAAGTCCACTCCATTTGTATTTGTCAGCAGAATTTCCAACCTGACATTGTAAACCACATTTTGGGCTTAATGTAATTAGTTGCAGGTGCCTCTCTATCCCATTGCTTAGAAAAGGTGAGCAAACTCTTTGGTGCAGAAGGTTATCTAATTCTTTTTATAGTTTTATACTAAGGCTGTATGATATGTTTTCATTTAGGATTTCATTCTGATGCTCTGAATGTGGAGAAATCTTGCTTTTCCAGGGAGATTCTGGATACTAGTCTTGGGCTGGTGGCTGAGGAGATTGAAGCACCTGGGTTTTCTATTGTTGGTCTGATTTCCTGGTTTGATTTCTTGTGGAATAAAAAAGATCAAAAGATGAGAAAGGGAAAGTTACAAAAAATGTTAGATGATGAAAAAAAGCATGAGGATAAACTCCAGACATAACCGAAATCTGACTTGCACTGGTGAGGTTACATACATACATACATACATACATACATACATACATACATACAGTACATATATACATACATAAAAAGGTAAAGGCTCCCCTCGTGCATATGTGCTAGTCATTCACGACTCTAGGGAGCAGTGCTCATCTCTGTTTCAAAGCCAAAGAGCCAGCGCTGTCCAAAGATGTCTCCGTGGTCATGTGGCTGGCATGACTAAATGCCAAAGGCTGTTACTTTCCCACCAAAGTAGTCCCTATTTTTCTACTTGCATTTTTTATGTGCTTTCGAACTGCTAGTTTGGCAGAAGCTGGGACAAGTAACGGGAAATCACCCCGTTCTGCAGCACTAGGGATTCGAACTGCTGAACTGCCGACCTTTCAATCGGCAAGCTCAGCATCTTAGCCATTGAGCCACCACATCCCTGGGACATACATACATACATACAGTTAGAGCAATTAACCAATGGAATAACTTGCCTTCAGAAGTTCTGGGTGCTCCATCACTGGACATTTTCAAGAAGGGACTGGAAAACCTTCCCCTCCCCCCAACTCTGGTATTCTGTATTCACTAGAACATAGAAAATAATAGAGTTGGAAGGGACCTTTTATATCTTCTAGTCCAAACTCCTGCTCAAGCAGGAGACCCTATACCCATGATGGCAAACCTATGGCACGCGTACCACAGGTGGCACAGGGAGCCATATTTGTGGGCACGCGAGTGTTGCCCTAGCTCAGCTCCAGAGTGCATGCGTATGCCAGCCAGCTGATTTTCGGGCCTTTTGGGCCCACCAGAAATTGGAAAACAGGCTGTTTCTGAGGGTGGGGGTGGGGAAGGCCGTTTTCGCCCTCCCCAGGCTCCTAGAAAGCCTCTGAAGCCTGGGGAGGGCAAAAAACAGGCCCACCGGGCCATCGCGGGCCAAAAGCGGTGGGAGCGCAGGGGGTCGTGTAATGGAGCTCCCACAAATTCTGAAGACAAGCTATTCCATTGGTTAATTGCTCTAACCATTATAAATTTTCTCCTTAGTTCTACCTAGATGTGATGAGTTACTTCTTAAGGTGTCACTTCTTCAAGTGACGTGACCTGCCCACCAATTCTTCGATAGCTTACCTCTGAAATGATGAACATACAGTTGTCAAAGGATGTCTCTGTGAGAAGAAACAATGTCATATAAACATCTTAAACTCTAAATAGGTTTATTTTTAAGGATGTTATTACACCTACATAGAAGTAGGATTATTGGTAATTAATTAATTTCTTTTACTGATTTTTACCTACTGTTACAGATTATGCTTTTTCATTATTTCAATAAATGAATATATCTGGTTCTCTCTAAACATACCCAAATTGCATCTTTTTATGGCTGTGGGAAGACAGCAAACAAAAAATAGAAGTCACCATGGCAAGGTTTAGACAAGAAGGAGGTTTGAGCACTGCCTTCTCGTGGAAACATGATTCTATTTATTTTTTTTTATTTTTTTTAGTTTATCAAACGTGTACAAGATAACAGGTTTATGTATAAACATGGATATGAACACAGGAAATGAGTACAAATAAATGGGGACAGTAGGACAGGGACGGTAGGCACACTGGTGCGCTTATGCATGTCCCCTTACAGACCTCTTAGGAATGGTGTGAGGACCACGGTAGACAGTTTAAGGTTGAAGCTATGGGGGTTTGAGGATGTAACAACAGAGTCAGGTAGAGAATTCCAGGCCTTGATCACTCTATTGCAGAAGTCGTATTTTCTGCAATCGAGTTTGGAACAGTTTGTATCTATTGTTTGCCCGTGTATTATTGTGGTTGAAGCTGAAGTAGTCGTTGACAGGTAGGATGTTGTAGCAGATAATTTTGTGTACTATGCTTAGGTCAAACCATAGGCAGCGTAGCTCAAGGTTGTCCAAGCCCAAAATTTCAAGCCTGGTGGCATAAGGTATTCTATTGTGAGCAGAGGAGTGGAGTACTCTTCTCATGAAATACCTCTGGGCCTGCTCAATTGTATTAATGTCCAATATACAGTGTGGATTCCAGGCAGACGAGTTGTATTCAAGGATTGGTCTGGCAAAGGTTTTGTATACCCTAGTTTGCAGTACAGTGTTACTGGAGAAGAAGCTTTGCAAAATTAGGTTAACAACTCTTAATGCTTTTTTGGCAATGCTGTTACAGTGAGCTCTGGGGCTTAGATCGTTTGAGATGAGTACTCCTAGGTCCTTGACAGAGTGAGGGTCATCTACAAGGTCATATCCGTGCAGCTTGCTTTTGATGTTCTGATTTTTGTTGCCAATGTGTAAGACAGAGCATTTGTTAGTTGAGATTTGGAATTGCCAATTGTTTGACCATTCTGACACATAGTTAAGGTCACTTTGTAGGGCAGCAGTATTGTTGGTGGTGTTAAATAGTTTTACATCATTAGCGAAGAGGACGCAGCTGCTTATAATATGATTGCAAAGGTCATTTATGTAAAGCAAAAAGAGTGTGGGTCCTAAAACGCTGCCTTGGGGGACACCGCTGTTAACTGGTGCACGGTTTGATAGAGCGCTCCCTATTTTGACTACTTATTGCCTGTTTGACAGGAACACGGCTATCCACTTGTGAAGGGATCCGGAAATGCCGTAAGAGCTTAGTTTTAACAGTAGTTTGTCATGTACCACTGAATCAAAGGCTTTGCAGAAGTCTACGTAAATTGTATCTATTGCTTTACCCTTCCACAAAGTTTTATCCAAAGCTAAGCTATTAAATTGCTGTTTTCTCCAACAATCAG